ATTTTTATTTATATCTTTTTCTTGTTATTGCTGTCATTCACTAATTTAAAGCTTTTGGTTAGATATTGACACGTTTAACTTAAGCAAGTAATTTAAGATGTACAGACTTATATGTTGAATTTTAATATTGACAAAGTTGAAAATTTATAAAAGTAAATATAATAGGCCAAGCACGTTTATATCATTGACAAAACTTAATACAGTAATTGGAGGCAGAGCAATAATTATGATTAATGATAAAGATAGAAAAAATGAATTAATGGCGAAGTAACAGTAATAGGAGTAAATATTTAATCATAAATTGTCTATTATCTTAAGGGGGAAATTCAAGTTTTAGTTTCATGTGGAGGTTATCCAATTCAAGATCATGAATAGCTAAAGATGAAATTTATATTGGAAAATGAGTTGAGATATATTCATTCACAAGTTTTATACATTATAATTATATAAAATTTTAATTATTTTTATTTTTATTTTAATAATTGAGATTTATTCACATTTATTAAAAATAATTATTTTTTATTTAAAAAATTATAATAAATTTTAACTATTAAAAATAAAAAAATAATTAAAATTTTATATAAATATAATATATAAAATTTATATGTAAATAAATTTTAACTCTTATAAAATTTACAAATTTTTATTTATAAAGAACCGAGAATAGTATGACTTAAATTTAAAAACAAAATGTTAAATTATTTTAACCTTATCAATTGAGCTAATTTTAGTAGCCTAATTTAACAATTATGCAGTAACTATTATTTATTTTTGTTTTAGTTTAAAATTTTTATTTTCTTTAAAAAACTTCTATTAACTTTTAAAATTGTATCAATTTTCTCTATCTAATACAATTTGCTTAATAAATAACATCGATAGAAGTCCACGTCATCGCTTATGTTGCGCTGCGTAAGTTTTCATGTTAGCAACACTTGACCTGAATAATTTTATTTTCATTGTTTTAACTGTGTTTTATTTTAATTAGATTACATTATAATTTAATTATTTGTTGTTAATTAAGTTAAGGAAATAAAGATGCA